TCTGATCATACATGTGCCTACCACTTTCCTAGTTATATTATCTCCTAGTATAACCTTACCTCCATTCCTAGCTTCCACGAAATGAATTGTATAGCGTCTCCAGTCATATTCTTTGAACATACGTTGTCCAGGTACCAAATGCTCTCACGAGATCTTGTATGAGAATGTTTCTACAAAATGATCAAACATTAGTCTTGGGAACCCAAACAAGTTTGGGTTCTCCTCTTGGCAAAATTAAAGTAGATATATGTATGATATGACTTATTTTAAATAGACATTCATATTTTCCAAAAATTGAAAGGGATATTATCAAACATTTGGGGTTTAGTAATCGAATACCCTTCATATGTGTTACGATTTTCAAAATTATCCATAATCATTTTTGCAAAAATAATCTAAACTTTGATTTTGAAGTAAGCTCTGATACCACTTGAAAAGTTCATATAGATTCTTAAACATATGCAATTGTCTCAAGGCCAATCAAGAGGGCGGGGGTGAATTGGTAATTTAAAATATTCTCTTTGATTTTTAATAGAAAACTAATTTATAATTTTAACCTATCTTTGATTTACTTTAAAATAACCTTTTCAACCACAAAAATAAAATGCTGAAAATTAAAATATGAAAATAAGAAGAACATAAAGATTTATAGTTGTTCGATCCAACAAGACATACGTTCACTCTCTGAAGACTCTCTCTTTAGGTATTGCACTATTACAAAAGTGACTCTCATTTTGTCCCCACAGTAAGGCGGAGAAGCCTTTACAAATTTCCTCTCTTTTACTAATCCCTGGTACAGTAGAGTACCATCGTCCTTTCACACCCTTCAAGTGTCGGCAGAGCACCATCATCCTTTCATACCCTCCAAGTGTTGGAAGAGTATCATCATCCTTTCACACTCTCCAAGTGTCGGCAGAATACAGGATCTTCTCCAAAGATCTTCTTTTGAGCAGCTAGAAAGAAAAAGTAAGAGAAGTGAAATAAAAACAAAAGAGATTCTCACCTTTGAGTAACCTTGTGAATCATCCACAGTCCACTTGCAAAAACTTTCTCAAATACTCTCCCAAATCACCCTTTCACTTTCTCTCTAAGAAATCACGAAGGTCTGATTCGTCCAAGTTAGTTTCTAAGGATTTTTTATATGAAAGACACAAAAAATCATGCAGAAAATTAATAATTTTAATTTTGAGTGTCCACGATCGTATAGTACAATCGACATTCATCCTGGATGAACAATTCAAAATTGTCTTGTACGATCATGTATGAAATATTTTCGTACACGCCTATCGTATAATACGATATGTATATCATACGGTACTAACAATTATAAAAAAAATCATATTCATCTGGATGAAAATGTTTCCCACAATTTCAAACTCTGGACATCATCTGTACGAACTCCAGATCATCTTGGACGAACAATTAAAAAATTTACATGTTCGTATGGACGAAAATGTTCCCAACATTTTCGTACTCTGAACGTCGTCTATATCAACGCCAGATCGTCCCAGACGAGCAATTCAAAAAAATTTCTTATTCGTATGGATGAAAATATTCATAACATTTTTGTACTCTGGATGTCTTCTGTACGAAGACAACTTCATCCAGTATAAACAGTACTTAGAAAAAATTTTCTCGTCCTAGCTTCGATTAACTGCTTACTGGAGGAAATAATTATTCAGATCGTCTCGTATGAAATCAAATCGTTCAATACAATTAGTTTAAAAATTACAAATTTTTAACACTCCCCCAGTATGTGTGTGCACGATTACTCAATTACAATCACAGTTTAACAGACTAAAAAAAATACATATTCCAATTACAATGAACCCTAAACAAATCTGACTTGAAGTTTTCAACAATCTGGAGTATGATTTCACTGAAATATTAGTACACACAAACAACAAAAGCAATATTTCTAATATATGTTAGGAGAATCAATAAGCAAACAATAATATTTAGAATCATCAAAAACACACATAACATGTAATCATAGTTATGAAAACTAAGATGCAACATTTTTAATTCTGAAGCTCTTGGCTTTGGTCAGCAAAATGGAAATAAACTAATATCTTTGGCTCATTTGGGGCTAATAAAAAATTATGGTTCACATAGCATAATCAATTGTAATAATTTGATTTAACCTTAATACTTGATGGAATAACTAGCCAATTGAGAGCATTAAAGCTTTTGATCAGCTCTTTATAATAGATCATATTTGAAATATGAATTTCTTTGAGTTTGTTGATTTTATTGCATGCAAATCAAGATAATAGTGCTTTTCCACCACTTTTATATCAACTCATAGAGTTAATCTTACTGCCTCTATTTGTAATGAATATCCTAGATGATGAAATCACTCTTCTTTATCATCATAGGTCATTATCATGTTGGCACTCATATGGAGAAAGCAAAACTTACATCAATCCAGCACTTACATCATGATTGTTTTGTCAATCCAACTACTTGGCAGAATAACTAGCTTGATGAGATTTCAGGAGGGAGAATAGTACATTTTCTTTGGTTAGTCAATCATGTTGGCCTAGCTATCTATTGGGTGTGAGATCTGATCAAAATTTTTTTTTGCATATTTTCATAATTTGATTATGTTTTTTTTTTTTCAAAGTTGTAAAAATCAAACCGGACAATGAACCGGTAGAAGGAAAGATTCATGATTCTACTAGTCGAACCAGGGTCGAACCAGATGACGTAATAAATAAAATTTAGATAACATAAAAATCATAAAATAATATAAATTTTTCATTAAAAAATATATTGAATTCACACATTACTAATATCATATGTAATTTTAAATTTAATCATATTCAATTTTTAAATTTAATTCAAATTTAACAAAAAATTAACTTACATATCAGTTCATAAGTTTAATATAAATTATTGTTATTTTATGTTATATATTCGTATATAGTTTACACTTATAAATTATATATTAAATTCATATTATTATTTAACATTTATAAATTATTGAGGTTAGATTAGACCATTTATTTTAAATAAATAAATAAATAAAAATTATAGTACAAAAAATAATAATTGAAGATTATAAATTTTTAACATTATTAATAAAAAATAAATATTATTTACATCATAAAAAATTTATTTAAAAAATATATTTAAAACTAGAAAGTATGTATTGTAAGAATTTTAACTTAAGAGTTAAGAAGTAAGAATTTTAACTTTTTTAGTCTCACATCACTTGGAGAACATCCTATTAGTAATGTTTTTACTTTATATTAACTTTTGAGTTAGAATGAAATAATATCTCATATATAGTTAAAGCCTTATTAAATGTTTAGTTTGAAATTTTTTTAATTTAAAATTAAGCATTTCAAATTTAAAATTGAATTATAAATATTACTTAATATTTTATTCTTAATATTTTAAAATAATTTATTTAATTATTCAAATAATTTAAAATTTGAATTGGCCGATTCAAGAGAACTATGACCGATTTTGAGCCGACAATTTTAATCGGTTCAATGCAGAAATAATTTTTAGGATGAATCGGATCTACCATAAAATTGATTTATGGTAGATACGGCCAGTTCAGTCTAATTTTTAAGACCTCGATATTTATTATTTACTATAAATGAAAGTTGATATTAAAAATTGAGAATAATTTTAGTTTTTTTATCAATAATCCAGCCGCACGTACAGCACCACCAATCATGTAGAGAACAGTGGCTCCTGTAGGTCTTCACACACGTCCTTGATTGATTGTGACACTGATTTGCTTTACAATTTTTTAATTACGCCGATAGACCCTCCCAAATAAATTTTATTCAGATTTTTTTTTTAATTTTTAATTTTTATTTTTTTTTTCTAATTTATTCAAATACTTATGACTTGGCCTAAAAAAAGTATTTTTATACTTGAAAAACTTTATAAAAAAATATTTTTACAGGGAGAAATGATTTTCTTTAAGAGCGATTTTCATACATACTACTTTATTTCAGGCTATTTATATATATCTAATATTTAAAAATTTAATATTACATGTCTACCATCCTTAAAAAAAAATAAGGATGTATAAAATAAAATATTAAAGTTATATCTTAGTATGGGCGATAAGAATGAAATATATATGTGATATATTTAATATTAAAATTTTATACAAATGATCAAAATGAAATATTAAAATTTTAAATATTAGATATTCAAATAACATGAAATAAAATAATATGAATGTAAATATCTCTTTCTTTAATCATATCATTACTTCAAAAATATATATTTTTTTTTAAAGAAATGGATATATTTGTAAGAAAGGAGCGTAGAGATAAAGGCAAGGTTGGCAGACATGGAAGGCAGAGTGTGGAATAGATGCCTCCCATTGCCAGCTTTCACAAAAGACAGCAAGTACGCCTTACCCCCCATGGAACAGCAACAATTTTTTTTTTTTTTTAATTCTTGATAGACATTTTCTCCCTCTCCCGTGCGTGACCATGACCGATCCCTCTCTCCCTTTGCTTATATTTGCTTATGTATTAGTATACTTTATACATATATATTAGTATATATATATCTGTTATATATATATATATATATATATATATATATATATATCTGTTAAATATTTTTAATAATTTTATGCTAGATTTATTAAGTTTTTATATATTTTAAATGTATTTATTATTAATATTTATTAAAAAGTGGCAATTTATTTCTTAAAAAGTAAATTTTTTTTTTTTGGGACATTTAGGCCATTTAAGGCAAACTCACACACACAACGCATACACATGGACTCGAACCTTGGACCTCTTAGTTTGAAGCCTAAGCTCTCAACCAATAAGCCAAGGAGAGTTGTGTAAAAAGTAAATATTTGATTAATCATTTTAATCTTCTGACTTAGATATCTCACAAACAACAAAACCTGTGCCACGCAAAAATTAAGATATTTTTCCAAAAAAAACATAACAGAACTTCCTGACTTAGATACCTCACGAATTCTGCCTTACTAATACTGTCTAACAAACTGATTTGAAAAAGAAAATTTGCTTCTGAAATCAATAAACAAGATATGTATGTTGAAAGAAGGCACTTGAATGATCTTTCCAAGAAAATTGAAAGTTCTGTAAGCGACAAGACCTAATTCTACCTCAAAGAATTGGCAAACTAATGATATATGATGACTAACCTTCTATCAACATGTTCTTTCTCAGTCCAAAATCATATTAATCTAATGTTAATATGTGTATATATATAACTTTGCCAAAGCAAAAGTAAGCTGAGTAGAATAAAACCTGGCAATAAAAGCTCCAGCATTGCGGAATTGTTGCCATCTATAGTTGGGGGCCCTCAGCTGCTCATTTTGTTGCGTTTCTTTGCTTCACTGTAGAGAATAACTCCAATGACCGTTAGACTGTAACCCAGCATCCCTGTTATGGAGACCGGATTCTGGAAAATGAGAATTGAAACCACAACGGCTAAGGCACCTTTGGCATTTCCAAGAACCTGATGAAGTATCATTTAGTCATGTTTCACACACAACATTTCTTGTAGAATAAATATGAAAAAGACTAACTACCTCAAGAGCAAAATGCTGGAATTTTAGGCTCCGTTTGGTACAACTTTTTTATCGCTTTATAAAATAACTTTTTAAAATTTCTTGAACTAAAAAATTGCTTTAAAAAACAGTAAAAAAGAAGTCTCAAACGAAGCATTAATGAACAAAGTTAATTCTAAACTCCTGCTCCAATCAAAAGTAAATCAGCTACGGTCGATACTTTAGTGAGCTTGCTTAGTATGGCTGATCTCAATGTACAATGAGAAATTGTCTGGGGAAATGGGGATTTGTAATGGGAGTAAAATGGGAGAGAAACTTTGCTGATAGGGAATTGTGATAGGTGATGTGGATTAGTTGTTAATGCTATAACAACAACAAATCTCTACTCAACCTCCCACCGATTTCTCTCAGAACTTCTTGGATTCCGCTTGACAACCTCCTCTTTGTCTCAATTAGCCTTCTTTGTGCCTTCCCATTAAATCATCTAATCTTCTGATCACTCTTGACATCTTTGATTTTAAAAATATTCCTCAACTACTCGTGGATGTTTCGATCATCAAAGTAAAAGATAGTGGATCATCCAACTAACAAACAATCAAGCAATGGCTATCCCAAGTCACAACTAAAAACCGTGATCGAGTAATTTCCTCCTGAGCAATGAGCGGTACTTTACAACAATAACTAGTGAATGTTGGTAATAGGAAATAATCAAAAGTTGTTCATTATTAACTCTATCTATTTCAATCCCCAAAAGATCCCTTCATGATAAAACACCTTAAAGCAAGTTTCATCTTAAAGGTGCAATTACTACTAATTGTTTATTTAAGCATATGTCGCTCGTCCATATTCCAAGCTTTTTTATTAGACGGTAAAATATACCATATAAAAATTCCCCTGTTTTAAATCTTTGTATGACTGCCAATTGAAATCCTAATTGTTATTACTAGCCTGTAACATATTTTCCTTGGCACCAACTCTGAAAACAGATACAATGGCTATTAAGTATTAACCAACTTTCACTTCCTATCAGGATATACTTATAAGAAGCATTAACTATCTTAAATAACTTCCCGTTCATGGGAGCACAAGTTTTTGATGTATTATCAAACCTCTTAACTATTGATTAAGATTCTTACAAATCAAATCAGTCTGAGCTTATCCGTGCTCAAAATTTAGCATCTCAATTTCAATAATCACTTTGATACCTGTCAAAATTATTTTTCAGCGCCAAATTCTTTTCTCAACTGTTATAAAATTGCAGATCCTGAATCTTTGGCGAGTCCTATTAAATGTTTCTTCAAATATTTCCTCTGATCAAAATTTTTTTGGCTAAACAGTTGTAGAATTAGAGTTATCATGCTCTCAATAAACCCGAAAACAACAAATTCCTTTGTTTAAATTTTCCGTAAAATAAAAACACGCTATTTTAGATGATAAAGGTGCACAATTGTGACATTCACCAGCATTCAATTTATTGGTTCGGGATATGATATTCATAAGCCTGTAGGTAGGTTTGTTCAGGTCAAGTATTACTGTAGAATATGTTGAAAAGTGTGCCCCGAATAAATTTTAGGTTGGAATTTCAATTTACAAGCATACTGATGTTCAACAACAACCAAAAAAAAAATTATTGATGCTAATATTAGAGAATTCTATTATTTTCCTATAATTCTGGAAAAAATATGGTCCTATAGGGAAAGATGAAGATGTATTAGTTTTTGTCCTTGTAATGCAGCCGTACTAAAATAAAGCATATCAGCAACAGCCACCTACTAAAGAAGTAAACATTCATTTATTTATTTGGTATTCTTGACTTCTGATGATGTAATGGAAAGCTCTTAAATAATCATCATTTAATTAATCACAATTAAGTAAACTCTGAACTAATGATAACTAATTTTGTAATATATTCAAGTTTAACATAATACCAATATCGCAAAAAATCAGCACTGTTATTACCACTAAATGAAGAATGATGGTACAATAAAAATTTTTCACGGGCTGTGGTTCTACAATATTAACCACAAAAACATTAGAGGTTTCTAAATATCTTTAGTCAAAGTTTTCATAAAATTCTTGAGAAGCTCAGAAGCTAATTCTCCAGTTAATATATATTTTTTTCAAAATAACGCATGCTCTTCTACAACTATAACTTCGTTATATTGAAGTGGAATAACGGTATGAGTTTACCATTTTACATTCACAAAAATTTAAATTGTCATTTTCACCAACTGCTTGTAGCATAATAACTAGTTGTTCACATGCATTAAGACGTTTTCCATACACAGCAACAACAATTTTTAAGTGAACTTTATCTAGACTGAGAATCTACTACTTTCCGACCTCGTGACAGAATCTCACTTTTGTAGGTATATACCCAAAAGCATTCAGGGTGATAAAAATTCGATTTGAGTCGGATTCAGTCACAGTTTAAAATGATACAATGCTATTTCAAACGACTTGAAATGGATTCTTTTTTGACTAACTAGTCTCTAGAGTTAATTAATCATGAAATCAAATTTTTTATTTTTCATTATTTTAAAAAATAAATATGTATAACGCACACACAAATATATAATGTTAAGTAAAAATATAATCAAGTAAAATACATCTATATGATAACTGCATGTGTGCGAGCATACATGCATGTGTTTACATAGCTGGACTTTTCACCTCCTAAAAGAGAATATTAATACTCGGATGCGGACATCCAACCGTCCATGCCTATCCGAGGAGCTGAAGATCGACGACCAAGATCACTTTGTTTTATTTTAGTTTATTAAGTGTATTTTGATTTAATTTTGCAATTTCCCTTTTTTACCTTCTTGTCTTATGTAAGCCCAAGGGGCAAATGTGTCTTTTATTTTCTTTTGAGGCCTATATATAGAGGCTCCTTCTATTGTATTAGGATCATGGAATTATAATAAAAAAATTTGGTGTTTCCACTTGTGTTCTTTGGGAAGAACATTAGTGAAATACCTATGGGAGATAGTCGGAGTTTCCACCAGCCATAGGATGGGTCCGGGCTCGTGGCTTGAAGTCCCTTGGAGGAGAGCAACGTATCACCCGTCAGTATTCGGAAGAGTCCAAGGCTCGCGGTTTTATCTTTTATCTTTTGTTTTAGTTTTTGTTCCTTCTTGTTGTTCCTAGTCATCATCTCCATCCTCTTCCTCCTTCCACCATCACGTCGTCTCCATCTCCACCTTGCCGGCGGTCCCTTACCCGCCCCATTCAAACCGTCAGCCACATCCTCTCCCATTCCCTATTGCTTAATTCGGATAATTCCTAGTTTTGGATTGCCATAATTTAGTTGGTCTTTGAATTCAAATTTCCCCAAATTTGAAATTCAAATTCTTTCATAAATTATAAAATCTATTTTAGGGAAGTTTTCAAATTTTCCCTCCATTGGATTTTGAATTAATTAGGATGACTTAATTCATTCTAAATCCAACCCCTAAAATTAAGGAAGCATTAAAGCCTCCTTAATTCCCTCCCTCTCTCACCCCTAGCCGCCGGCCTCATTACCCTCCTCCTCCCTCCAAAACACAAATCACATCTTGAATTCTTGCCATAATATTTTCCTCTTAATTTAGAAAGGTTTAATTTCAAATATCAAAGCATTTTGAATTTGAAATTTCTTTCCTAATTTAAGAGATCTATTTTTGAAAAGCTCCTTAATTAGCTCCTATTTGAATTTTAAATGAGAAAGGATTTAATTAAATCTTTCCTATCTCATGAATCTAAATTAGGCAAAGCTGCAAACTTCTAATATTATTGTCCAGCCGCCACCGCGTGGTAGAAGCACAAGTCGGCTCCCCCCCCCCCCCCCCCCCCCCCCCCTAGATTTCTTCTGGAAATCTTTCCATATGGCAATGTCTCTTCTTGGAAAGAGTTTAAAATCCTTCAGTGCTGCTGGCCAAAATTTCCCAAGGCTCATGCATTGATTTCCCTCCATTAAATGCTCCTTATGCCCTGAAATTAATTCCAGATTCCCCGCCACTGCTGGGCAGAGAATTCCCCATAATACTCATCTAGTTTTCTTGCATCTAGAGAGCCAGAATCCTGAGTTGTCATAGTCCAAGTTGCTGTCCAGTTTTCTGGACAGATTTTGTGTGCCGTCCAGAATTTCCCATTGC